ATGGTTCTGGAATCGAATTTCTATTAATGTTTAATTAATATTTTTTTAGCTAGTTTCTTAATTGATATTTTTATTTAATCACGCGTATTATTACTAATTAACTAGTTACTTATAATAAAGGGTTCTTTAATTAAAAGGTTTGACCACCCCACCACTCTTACAATGAATGTAATAGGAACGCGTATAAACAAACAAAAAAATTAAATATCATGTGATCCATGCACGCATCGAATTGATAGATTATAAATTATATGTATCTATTGTAAATTATAATATTTATAATCTTGGAGGAATGATGTCGTGACGAAAATGTACTGCACACAAAGACCATTCAATGATTGTTGAAAAATTATATCGAATCATTATTCTGTTGTTCAAGACTGACTGTTATAATATGATGGATAAGTGGATACATATAGTAAGATCACCCTCCCAATAAAAACATCAAATGATTATCTTCTAACCCAACAGTTTGTCCGTGTATTTATTCGTCACCATTTTATTAGCAGCTTCTCTGACAGCTTTTTGCCAACACTCATCCAACTTCAAATAAAGATCCTGTTTGATCTCGTTATGCCCCATTCAGGTAATCTATGAGCAATCTCAATCATTAAATGAACAAATGCCACGTACTCACAAGATGTAAATCATATTAATAATATTATTATACTTACATATATATATAAATACATTAATTATGTTTACATGTCAAAACCCTCCAGGATTTATAATATTCAATACCATAATCTTATTTTATTATCGTCAGTCAACAACACCAAAAAAATCATATATCCAAGATATCCAAGATAACAGTTTAAGCTATAATCATCTTTAAGATGTCCCAGGAAAACTGTCGTGAGAATTGTTGGCCAAAGGAATATTTGAATAAAGGTTAGATGTGAGTCAGTCAGTATGATGGATGATTTATTAACAACAACAGTCGATTTGTAATGTATATAATGATTTGATGGATGGATGGGGGAGGGGGTGGAGATAAAGATATAATAAAAATAAGAATGTTAGATGAATTGGATCTATTATATACTTTTTGATAAATGAATGCTACTACTGATGTTGATGTTTGATACGTAACAGTTTCGAAAAGATAATGTGAATCGTCTGCCCTCCTGTCGAGAATGTCACTCATTTGTTATTATTATATCTCGTAATTAGTCAAAGTGGATTTCTTTGTACACGTTGGTTAAACCTTTCCGCATTCTTACAATTTATCATAATTGACATTGTAAAATTGTTTTTTCGGGAATTAACCAAATTCTTTTAAAAACTTTTTTAATCAAGGTTTCAGAAGCCTTCAGGGCAAATAAATTTTTGAAAAAAGTGGGTCTCTCACACTATTAATCAATATAAGCAAGCGGTGGCTTATGTAATTAATTAAATTGTTTGTTTCAATTATACTCGTGCAAATATGTGCAGTAATTATTTTTCTTTCTCATCACTCTTTTTATCTACACACAAATCATTTCCTCATTTTGCAAAAAATCTCATTAACTTTTACTAATTTTGGATTTAAGCACAATATAAAATTCACTATTTATTTCTTCTTGATGAAGAAAGATCTACTACTTTTTTTAAAATTTTAAGAATGAAGGATCTACACACTAATAATAATAATATTAAAAAAAAAGAACAATTTAACTAATTTTTTATAATTAATATATATATATTGAAGAGACAACTATTAAATATGCTTCAACAATTCAACGAAAATTATATCGTGTCAACTGAAGCTTCCCAGAGTCCTCCTCTCCCTCCTCTCCTTGCTACAGGTAATACAGGTAAGTAAGCCTTTCTCTTTCTCCTTCCTTCTTATCTTTCTTTTGAATTTTATGGAAATGGAAAAGATTTTGTTTTTTAAAACACGAGAAAGATGGGAAATATGCGTGTCTAAAGTGAGAAGACAGACTTTTTAAACGTGACTGAAAAAAAATTTTCGTAACAAAATAATTATATATGCATAAAATGCATACGATTAATATTCATAATATAATGATGATTTATTCTATTAATCCAAGACTATTATTTTTATCTTTACTTAATTTTTATAATATTACATGATTAGAATCAACTATATCTAGTTCTTCTGAACCTTCTTTACAACAGCACCAACAACCCCTTCTATCACATCCATTCCCACAATCACCTGCTCCTCAACCGCCAATCTTTTCTTCCTCGCCACTACTCGCTTGTTATGATTTTCGTGACATAATTGCGCCATCACAACTACCACAGGGCGAACATCTAGATATTACAGAATTTAAACAATACGATAGAGAAAAATATGAAAGTTCTAAAACTGGTGTTAATAATTGTAATAGGAGACGAAGAAAACAAACACAAATACGTGTCGAAGATTGTGATACTGCTTCTTCGTTGGATGGATATGACGATGATGATATCAGTAACAATATTAATATCAATAAGTGAGCACTAAAAATTTTTATTATTTAATAAAGAAATTTAACATATGAGAGAGTAACTTTGTCACGTTTTTGGAAATTAACAATTGTGTTGCTTTTAGTCGATCAACACATGCTGAAATACGTCGTCAAATGCATATTCAATCTGAACAGAAAAGACGTGCAGAAATCAAAGATGGATTTGAAGACCTTCGACGTCTTTTACCAATTTTTAACCATAGTCGTAAGATGAGTAAGGCATTGTTGCTTCAAAAAAGTAAATGATCACCTTAATAATTTTTTCTAGTTTATTTACACGTGACCATATAATTAATAATTATTCAATCCTACAAAAAAGCTGTCTCCCATATAAAAAATACGAAAACAAAAGAATGTTATCTTTTAGATGAAATTAATCGACTCAATCATTATATTAATTATTTGGCCACTGAACTTGAAAGAGAGAAAAGGTTCTTCTATTGTATATTATATTATTATTGTTATAGATAATTATGATGACAATTTTGAGAGTTGACATTTATATTTATATGTCTATTAACCTTCTTTACCTCTTTTTTACTTTGATAGAATGAATAATATATATCAACAGAAAGAAACACTTGACAAACTATATCAGATTGGATTGTAAGTCATTCATTAACTGTCTTGTTCATTCTCTCTCATTTGCACCTTTTTTCACTATTTGTTCGTCCCATAATCAAATTGATAATTAGTGAGATGATGATAACAATAATCAATATATATATATATATATATGAGTAAAAAAAAAAAAAAAAAAAAAAAAAGAAAAAAACAAACTTATCATTATTATTTCTTTTTCAATATCACTAATAATAATAATAATTGTAGATATTCGTATTATTATTTCCTTTTATTCATGAAACATTTCTTTTTTTAATTTGTTTTTTTCTTTCTCTTTCTTCTTTTTATGTATATAAATTCCAAGATCATGTGTCTTCTTCATTTTACATGAATATAAAATATAAATTATATATATGTATTGATTATTTACTTTGTTCAATGGAGAAAATCACATTTATTGTTATCTTTCTTGTAGTTTTTGACCAAATAACCATTTGTGTTATTTAACTTTTGAACTGTTAGTTAAATAATAACCAGTTCAAAAAAATTTGAACCTGACATTAATTTGTATGCGCTCTAACCAAATTTAGAAATTATTCGCAAATATTGCAATTGCAGATCAGTCGATTTACTTTTGAATGATAAATACCCTTTCTAATGTAAATTTGTTACAAGTTTACATTTATTTATTATTTATTTATCCAATTAATCATTTATATTATCCTGATTTATATTAAAAATAGAAACTAAATGTGAATTTGTTTTATCTGCATTAAAAAACGAACAAATGTCTAATGAATCTTGATCAAGTGCGAAAAGAGAATTTGAGTGAATATAAAGGGATGATGAATGCCAATACCAAAATAATATACTACTTCTTTTGGTTTAAATGCGCATACAAGTTACCTCTCATATATATATTAATGAATGACGAAATTGAGATATAAGGTGATGAATCAAGATCATCAATACAAAACCCTGTCAATTGATACATTGCAGAACCTTTTGCTATACATAGAATTCCATCAGTCCACTCAACCAAGTAATCATCCTTTTCTAATGGATGGAAACATTAGCACGGCCCATGTCAGTGACTAAAAAGAATATATTTATTAGTAAATAAATTTCAAAGTAAACATTAGATTAAATTATATATTTATTTACCTTTTGTTTTACCAGAATTGACTAAAATGATTGTATCTGATTATGTGCCTTCCAACATTGTGTGATAATTACACGAACTCGCCTGTTAAAATCTTGTTTTCCAAATAAAAATGTTATTTATATAGAAACTAGTGAAGATCTATATATGAAAATTCCTTTATGGTCTTTCAATTTTTGGACCTTTAGTAGTACACATATGTTCAGCTAATGAAAGTTATAGCGTTAGTTTCTATTATACTATAATTCTTTAATATTTTTACATGTTCGATATTACAAATAGTATCAATTTTGACATCGATCAAGTTCTTCAAATTCTGCGAGGACAATCTACAACCACTAACCACAATATTGGAAACAACCAACGATCCAACAATATGATGTAACGTAATCATAACATTGACAAACACCTATAATTCGTATAAAAGATTGCCAGATAGTAACATGTTAGTTAAGAAGAATGCATCGATGACGTCGGCACGACTTTGTGAAATGTGTGAACGTTTAAATGATGGAGATCAGAGAATCAACGATCTTGATAAATTACTCTTTTCAGAATTGAAAACTAAAGATAATTTCTGTTTATAAAGTTGCCATGAGAAACTTATTTGACAAAATTAATAATAATAATTTGATAACGATGAGAATAATAACGTTGTAAAAAATGATGTTGATAATAATGACAGTGATAAATACTGATAATAATAACATGGATGATACCATTGATGACTGTAATGCAGATTAAGAACTACATTGAATATTTTTAAAATTTGGAAAAGATAAATAATAATATTTACTATATTTTTAATTAAAAATCTTTTAACTTTTCAATGCCCTAAAATAAGTGGATGAATTAATCAACCATTATAAATTTTTAATTATTCATTTAATTAATATTCAATCAACCATTAAATTTCGATTTAATTGTTCAAATAAATAAATCTGATTTAAATTAAATTAAATGACTTACATTTTAAAAGGCCATATTTCATATTTCTCCCAAACTTTGCCAATAACATAAGGGTCAACTTTAACCAGATTTCTAACAAATTCTTCAGATTCAGCTTCATATATTATCAAGCTACCAACCATTTTACCACCTTTGCTTGCTTCTTCTTCTTCTTCTCCAGATAATATAGCACCACCCGCAACGACTATTCCTTGTTCTTTTAATTTTAATGCATTGTCAAGATGAGCTTTTCTAACTGATAATCTACGCGAGTAAGCTTGATTGTCTGTATAATCTGTTGCTAGTAAAACATATTGTTTGTTGACTTTTGTTGTTTTTATCAATGGCAATGGTTAATTGTTAAAGATATCAAAGCCAAAAAAAAATGTTATTTTAATATAATTGATGAAAACTCACCAATTTTACTAGTTGATAAATTTCTAAAAACTATTAAGAGTGTATATTTAAATATTTTTCCAAAAAAAAAAAAAAAAAAATACTATAATATATTTTATATAAAACCTTTTCCTATTGTTGAGGGATACAGACTAATCTGTTTTCTTAGAAAATTTTTACTATTTAACGTATGAAAAAAACTCATTTTTTTAAAAATCATTTTTTTTGGTAAATTTTTCTTATAAAGGAATTTGCGTGCGAGACCAAATCTCGAAAGCTGATTGGTGGATTGGTAATGATTTACGAAGACTGATTAAAAAATGTATATTAGCGAATAGTCAGTTCCTTATGGCACGCCTAAGGTTGCTTGCCGAAACCTCTTAATGATGTCGAAACTATGCCGAAATTTTGCAAATTGTCAAAACTCCCAAATGCGAAACTCTGCCGAAACAATTAGTGTGTAGCCTGCCGAAATTCTGCCAATTGATTTCTGGAGGAGTTTTGGCAAGCAACCATAGGCATGCCAGTATGGTCAGCTGACAAGGACAAAAGTTTAAGGCCGAGGCTCAAACGCCTAAGGGTTCAGCCTTAAGGGTAAACCTCGAGTAAAAAAAAATTACATTTTTGGTATCGATATTTTTGTGTAGATTGAGAATATCTTTCTTCAAGTGCATGAGTTTTATCCTCAAGTGCACGGGTTTTATCCTCAAGTGACTTTGCTTCCACTGTAACAAGCTTTGGCTGTATTTAATGAATCGAAATTTATATATAATTAAAATTTTGGGGTGGGGTGTTTGTATATGAAATTCTGGTTGGCTAATTTGAACTTCACATACGTGAATTGCAAATTCACATAAATATTCCATTTTCACGCACAACAATAAAAATTGATTGTTGCTTTATTTAGTCAAAACTAATTTATTACAAAGTTATTTTTCAAGTATACAACTCAATTAATTAACGAATTAATACAACTCAACCAAATCTGTGCAACATACTTTGTAACAATTTAGAAAAGATTGGCAATATTTTGGTGATATTTAGAAAGAATTGGCAACGATTCCATCTCTCTTTGGAAATTTCCGAAAGAAAAGGAAAATTTTCATTTCACAAGATTGATTGCGTTGTATAAATCTTTTGATCATGATTATGTTTATGATCACTCTCCCAATTTTTTTTTAAAATGTTCAGAGGTTGTATTTTTATAAGTAACAAGTAAACCTTATTACACTAAATCAGGAAGATCCAAATCCTCCCTATAGCTAATTGTGGCTTCATAGAAAGTC